TTCAAATAAAAGACACTAACAGGAACTCTTACACGAAAAACTAAATTATTTAAACGCACAAATAAGGCAACAAATAACACTAAACTAGCCAGCTTCAAAAGACGCGGCCATCATCATCGCTGACCGCTGACTGCTGTATCCCGAACCACCGGAAGAGACTTCTTTTTCGAGCCCTGCAAGCTCTGTACTGAGCCATTCCTTTCCTGAGTACCGTTACCTCGATGCACCATGGTAGAATGTTCTTACTACTGATCGACAGAGCGAATGAGTTTAATTCGGTATGTTGCAGTGTAAACACGTCCCAAACCCTTACGATATTTTTGCGTCATGTTCAGTGAGCGTGAATAGAATGCCTTCGTTATTATACAAAGCTTTGTAACTACATTGTAAGGAATCTTTCCTATAAAATAAGCCTGTAGATGGGGAGCTTTTGATGTCTAAGTTTATTCTATCTCCCTTGATCTTAATTTCCCATCGAGTTCAAACTCAGATCGGCCGTTGCTCTTCTTGCTAAAATAATCCGTTATTTTATTCACCAGATTTGGAAGAGGGTATACATTGATGGTTAAGGTCGGTAGCAACCAACCTACGGTCTCGCTCACAGGCTCTGAAGGTAAAGTAAAAATTATACCTTTTTGGGAAACTGCCCACCTATCCCTCCCCTTAGCCAACATTTAACACTTACTTCTCACTTAGGGCAAAAGGTTGGCTTAGGGGAGGGGTAGGTGGGCAGTTTTCCAGAAAAGTATAGTGATCCCAGTAAATGAATTGGTTGATAATGTTAACGGATTCAACGAATTGAAAACTTCCTCAGTATAGTATCAGTGTGTAGAAACTTGTGGTTTCCTATAGTATTTTGCCCACACGTTTCCCGCTAGGGTCGCCTTAAATCGTAGGTTAATACATTGAACTTCAAAATTAACTGTGGAAACAGTAGTATAGGTAATTCAGTGGTAACTATTAACGGAGCCAATGAACGGAAATCAAAAGCGCAGCCTTGATCGTTAAGAACGTATGAGAAAGATTCCAAAATAACTTGCGCTAGAATTTCTGACAAAGAGTCAGTGCGTGGAATTTTGTGTTTTAGAATTTTCTAAAAAAAATAGTGTTGTTTTAAAATCTAATTTTAGGCGCTGTTGGGAGAAGAAGGGTGAATATATCCTCTACATGTCACAATATTTGCGACAAACAATTGTTATCTCCCCATTTTGTTGGGAAATTTAGTCTAGGTTTTCTTTGTCTAGAGCATGCACTTGCTCCCCTTTTCTTAGTCAGGTTCTTTTAGAAATGTCTTCGGTTTGTTACTTCTAGTAAATCGTGTTGAAGTTGTACCCGCCTTTCAAAGTCCCCATGCTGTTCCTTCAAGCCAGCCCCAGGTCTTCGCCAATCCAACGGCTCAATTGGACAACCCTGATTCCGCCGCGGCAATAGATGCTGTTAACAGAGTCATGCAGTTTGTTTCCAGTGCCTTTGGCGGAGCAAGTCTTATGGACAGTCACAGTGTAAGTCGCGCAAGTCCCAGTCTCCTTCGAAGCCATCTTTGTGTCCCTGGAGAAGTGTTGTGTGACGACACGGCTGTGTTGGAGACTACTCAAGTCCTGACTGAGCTCAATTTTACTCTTAGGAAGCCAAACCTGTATCAAGCGGACACCCTTGGGGAATAACCAGCAACCCGCTTAATACAGTTCTCAGTGCCGAGAAATACAGCTCTAAGTGAAATAGGCAATGGCGTCATTTCGTTGCTATATCAACTCCGATTTCATTGCAACCCTGATCATAACAAATTTTCATCTTCATCTGATTCAGCCGTGGTGGTAATTTTTCAAATCTTTGTCGATGACGACGTGGTTTTTGCTCAAACTTGGGAGGTATTGACTCTGATAAACCCCATCGAGCCACCTTAATAGAGGTGGCTGCTTAATACAGGTTTGACCGTTCAATCAATACTATACTGAACCAAGCAACTGCGAAAATCATTAAGTTCACGTTCTTTAGTCAAATTTTCATTACATGAAGTTCTACTTTTTAGAATTGTGATGGTTTGTGCTTTGTTTCTTTTAGGGAATCTTGCATTACCAGATAGTTAATGAAGCTCTGAGCTGGTCGTACA